TCCACAGTGTAAAGGTTGAAAGAATATCTGTCTAAAAGGTATTTGTTTAAAGCATAATGAACCAGGTCAAGGTACCTTTCTATTCATCTGTACGATATTTTATGCAGAACAATTGAAGGCATATGAAAAATCCACCATCAATTATCAATTAGCAAAACATTTTTATTCCTGGATTACATATAGAATATAAGTATTATGGCAATGCGCAGTAGTGGACCAAGACTTATTGGTGCTCAGGGCTATTTTAAAGCATGAGGCCTCTTTCCATGATTAATCAGAAAAATTATTGAGGGTTTCTTTTGAAAGTATATTTTTCTATGTACCAAAGCCTCCAAAACTGTGGGGCCCAGGGGTGGTATATAGCACTATAGAATTTCATAAGTAAATATGCAAATGTTTTTAAAACTTTAAAAAGTTTTTTAAATATGCCTACTAAGCAAAATCCACATTTTTGGGTCAATAACAGATTTAGATAATCTCATCTTTAAAATGTTTTTAAGAGGAAATTTTTACTTACCACTGCTAATTATACCATTAAATTTTATATGTTGAAATAAAATGTTGCATCAACATGTACCGATAGCACTCTTTTGACTGATGCTGATGGATATGAAAAGGCTGATGTTGATACAAATGAATTAACTAGTTATTAAAATTTTGAAAATATAAAACCATACAATTTTAAATCGTGAAATCTTTTACATGGAATCAATACTGTTAACAAATACTTGGACTTAAATAAGAACCAAACCATTATTTTAAAAGATGTTAGAAGAAAAAAAACTCAGTACAAAAAAATACATTTTTTAGTTTTTTTTACTATGAAAAGAAAATTTTCAAAAAAATAAATACATTAGAGGATTACTTTTAATTTCAATTTTAAAAAGAAAATGGTACTATCCTAAGCAGTTTATTTAGAATTCTTTAGTAAATTTTATAGTAATTTTAGAGATATCTTTTAGTAATTTTTTAGTAATTTTATAGATATCTAAACAACAATCATATGTTGTTTAGATATCTAATTTATTTTTAGGTCAGTTGTTTTTTAGGATCATTTTATTTCTGGTACATCTCTGGTAGTACCAGGCTCAACTTGTTTTTCCGCACAGTGGCCTTGTTCGTCAAGGTTTGTGTTTCGGAATTATTAAGTTGAGAGAGGGTTGTAACCATAACTAAAGTTGCCTCCTAGACTAGAGTGGCCTTCATAGCTATAAGGGGAGGGGGTGAAATGAAATTAAAAAAGTATATATATAGAAATATGGTAGGCTATACACGAACACATAAAGATAACAATGTTGAAATAGGTTACTTTTAAGTATAGTAATAGAACAACACAAAATAAAATTGTTCTTAAAACAACATGGTAATAAAAGTATAAGTTCATATAATAATGGTAATAAAAGTATAAGTTCAGCTGTTAAATTAAAGCTTGTCAGCATTATCTTAAGAATAAACAAAGTATGTAAACAAAGTAAAAATAAACAATTTCTCAAAAAAAATTTAAGTAATCCATAAAGTTTAGTTTATTTATTATTCAATTATTATCATAATCCAGGGTTAAAATATTAAAATGCCAGGTTCGAAAATAGGTAAATTGATAAAAAAAATGCCGATGCTAATACCGATTCTGATTGTGCAAAAAAGTGGTCTATTAAACCAATGCCGATGCCGATTCATCAGTACATCACTAATTAACATACAGTTCTATTGAGGTATGAACCTGTAAAACACTAACTAATAATACTTTTTAACAATAGCCAACAATACTAGACTATAGAGGCAGTTACCAGATTTGATCTAAAATAAATTCAAATAATACAAACAAAACTTTTATAAGCAAACCTTAAAATCCTTTAGAATTTTTTTTTAATTTTTTTTAATAAAGTTAACTTGCAGCTAACGCATTATGAATAACTGAACCAATAAAAAACACAACTCTTAGATGTTGCTAAAAACTTCTAAATTTTGGCACCAACCCTCAACTGTAAAATTTAAATAAAATAAGGCTGAATAATCAATCAATCAGTTATATTTTTTTGTGGAAAAAGTATTGCTTATATTATATTTGACATCATGCAAAATCTATTTAAAAAATATATCTTTACATATACAAACATCACAACAACAATATTACAAAACTATTCTAGCAGTTTGTACTTTACTAGCATAAAAATATTAGCATTTAAAAGCATATGCTTGGTTTAAACGAGATCTTTTATTATTTGCAATTAAATAATTAACAATGTGATACTTTGATCTAATTTAATGGCATAATTCGCTTTTAAATAATAATAATTAAAATAAATACTCTTTTAAGTAATATTGAATATAATATAAAAAAACAATATTATATTTTACAAAAAAGTTTAAACGAATACTTTGTTATTAATTTACTTTTTAATTATAAGTGTAAAATTTAAATTTTTACAATAGAACTTTTTTACTAATTTCAACTTTCCTCTAGTATTCTTTTTAATTTGAAGGTATTTTGTTGTCACTTATTTTATTGGCTTTGATCAAAATTATTATTATTATTTTTTTTTTGTATGTATTTAGGTGCTCCCAGAAGTCCTTGCGGTCTTATCATAGAGCACCGCGGGAGAGCATTTAACAGGAAGTTCATGCCTCCTTCCGTACCAATGTCGCTTGTTGGGCTAGAGATGGGCGTCGAACCTCGGACCTCTGGGTTCTGAGCCAGAACTCTAACCACCGCGCCACGGCTGCTCTATTATTAGATCATCATTTTTTTTAAGAATGTTAAGGTCTTTAAAGCAAAAACGTTTTTTAATTGAATAGAATTTTGTTTGAATAGAATGTTAAAAGTTAAACAAGTTTTCCTTGTTAAAAAAGTTTTTGTTGCTTTAGTCAAATAAAATGTTAATGTCTTTTGAATGAATTTTTTTTAATCAAATAGAATTTCGATTATAGAATAAGATGAAACAACTACGGCCAGGGGAGATTTGACCGCGCAAGTAGATATTAGCAACAAATTTCTCTAAGTTGTAACTTTAGTATGTGTAAATTGAAAAAAAAATTGATTTTTGTATTTATAAATTTCGTTTTAATAAAGTAAACTTTTTGTTTGCTTATAAAAATTTTTAATTTATACATTTAAAAAAAATTGTAAAAATTTATGTAAATGTAGTATTTTTTTTTATGTTTTACGCAAATAATTTATACATTTATAAGCACAAATGATTTATTAATTTAATAATAAAATGCTTACACTAAAATGCTTTATCAGCAGTTTACTAACAGTATTTTTAATAACCTTAATAAAAGCTTTTTAATTTCTTTGTTTTGTGTACTAAGTATTACTACGTTTCTTGTATAACACTTAAAAGCCAGTTAATAAGAGGATTAAAGGCTGTTGTTTTTTTTAAATGGCTTTTTGAACTTTTAAGAAATTTTTAAAAATTAGGAATTTGGCATTACACGCAGTGCCATTAGGCTGGTTAACACCCTGATATATATATATATATATATATATATATATATATATATATATATATATATATATATATATATATATATATATATATATATATATACACACAATATATATACACACAATATATATATATATATATATATATATATATATATATATATATATATATATATATATATATACACACACACACACTCTTGCATGGTCTTCTTTTTGTTTTTACCATAAAATGTCAGCTTTAAGTTTTTTTTATTTTAAAGACCGGAAAATTTTTTTTTTATAATTATTCAATTGACTGCCTGCCCAAAACCATACCTCAGTCCGATGTAGCAGCACTCTGTTGCTAGTCAAGTTATTTATCAGTCGATGTAGCAGCACTCTGCGCATGTTTTACAATTAAAAAATAAATAAAAAAACATTCAGAAAAATTTTAAAAACATTTAGAATGTTTTCAAAAACATTCTAGTCTTTTAATTTGTGGTTTTGTGGTTTAATTATTTTCTGCAATTGAATTAATTGAGTTTTGACATAATTTAACCTTAATTTTGCCAGCTTTAATACCACAAACAAGCGAAGAGCCATTTTTTTACCACAAACGCATTATCTTAGCCATAAAGCATATGTGTGTGTGTGTGTGTATATATATATATATATATATATATATATATATATATATATATATATATATATATATATATATATATAATATATATATATATATATATATATATATATATATGTATATATATATATATATATATATATATATATATATATATATATATATACATATATATATATATATATATATATATATATATATATATATATATATATATATATATATTTATATATAAGACCGCAAAGTTTTTTTTTTTTTACCTTTATTATTTAATAGATGCCTGCACAAACTAAACCCTCATTCGATGTAGCACCACTCCTTAGCGAGTCAGGCTATTTTTCAGTCAATGTAGCGGCATTCCGTTGTGAGTCAGGTCATTTGTCAGTTGATGTAGCACCACTCTATTGCGCGTCAAGCTATAAGATAGTCGATGTAGCAACACTCGCGCATGATTTACAGTAAAAAAAATATAAATAAAAATATTTTATTAAAAAAATTAAAATAAAAACATTGTTTATATTTTTAAAAACATTTGAAATATTTTTAAAAACATTCAGAATATTTTTAAAAACATTCTGGTCAATTAACTTTGCGTTTTTGCAATTTTTTTAAAAAGTGATTAAGTTAATGGTTCTAACTTTATGACAACACGGAAATGATGAATGAAAGTCAAAAGTAATTAAAAGTGACATATTTTATTGTCAATAGAATCATTTTTCACCTTCTGTACAACAATATATATATATATATATATATATATATATATATATATATATATATATATATATATATATATATATATATATATATATATATATATATATATATATATATATATATGAATAAACATATACTGGTATATGCTGGTATATGATATAAACATTGATGTATAAATCGTGTATAATACTGTTAAACATTTTTTTTTAGTTGTTCTAAACCTGAACAAAAGATAACAATCACAACAGGTAGACTTTTAAAGGAAATAAAAAGTTTAGATGATAAACGTGCTGAAGATGTCAGAAAATTACAAGAAAAATTAGCATTGGTAAAACAGTCACTGAGTGGTTTTTTATTTTTAATTTATTTATGATTTACAAATTGATTTTTAAATTTTTTATTTTTTTGTTACATTTAAAATCCATTATGTTTTTATTAATTTATTGTGTTCAGAAACAATCAGAGTTGATGAAAAATCAAAAAGAAGAAAATGCACTATCTAGCAATCGATCAATTTCTCCAAAGTCAAAAAGAAAAAAGTCTCCATCACCTATTTTGGAAGAACTTCCTAAACGTGGGCGAAGACAAAGATCTCCTTCTCCTGATATAACAGAAAACATAAAACCACATAAAGCACCTACTTCACCACCAAAAAAATCAAAAAGAGCAAAATCTCCTTCACCTAAAAATCTTAAAAAAACTAACTCTATTTCTCCTGCTACAAAGCGGAGCCAAAAATTAAAATCCCCATCACCACCAAGAATAAAATCACCATCACCTCCACGAAGAAAAATATCACCTTCTAGAAAAAAATCATCATCGCCTACTAGAAAAAAATCACCATCACCCCCTAATTCAAAAGTCAAAAAAACCCCTTCTAAACCTGATAATAAGCGCAAATCTGATTCAAATGTAAATACAGATGTCAAAAATAAAAAATCAGACAAAATCAATAATGAAAATTCAGAAGATGAATCTAGTCATTTGTCTAGCTCTATATATCCAATTAACTGTAAAGTTGAAGCTAGAATGCATAACACTTGGTAAGTACATATCAATATTTGTGTGCATGTGTATATGTGTGTGCCTCTGTGTGTGTGTGTTTATATATATATATATATATATATATATATATATATATATATATATATATATATATATATATATATATATATATATATATATATATATATATATATGTATATATATATATATATATATATATATATATATATATATATATATATATATATATATATATATATATATATATATATATATATATATATATATTTATAATTTTTTTCAGCAACATATTATAAAAAAATACCCAATTATATGAATCATTACACTTTACATACCCAAACTTCCTTTATCTTCCTTGACAAAATACAGTAGTCTATTTTATTTAGATATGCAAGGTGCAACAGCCTCAGCTTTTATTATTATTTCGTACTATGACCATTTGTTTAACATTCCATATACAATGTTTATCAAAATCAAGGTGATAAGGAATCTCTACAAATGACTATAAATGCAGATCTTCATTTTCCAAATTTATCACATTGAGCAACTCAATTTAAAGTTGTTTTCTTCTTTTCGGAAATATGCTATCTGGTTCTCTGAAAGACTTTTACATAGAAGAGAACAATCAAATTTTAATTTTATTAGGTTTCTCTTTTATACATAAAAATTGTGGAAAGTATTATTATCCACCTGTGCAACTGTTGTAAAAAACTGGCCAGGTTATTTTAGTCGTTTTGAAAACATTTAAGTTTATGTAAGTAACAAAAATTTTTTGTTTTACAGACATACATGGAAACATACATAAACTTAATTGTTCTCAAAACATCATGGTGCGGAAGAATAAAAAGAATATTCGCGAACACTAAAAACCTGCCAAATCTACAAACAAATTCTATTGGTTAAAAAAATACGCTGACTAAGCAAAATTTTAGTTCTAATTAAGTTCTAGAGTATCCTGTTGAATTAAGTTCTAGAGTATCCTTATGAAATGTTTTAAAAATAGTATTATTCACGATTTATTGCGTGTTTAGATTTCTAGCATAAATTGCTTTAAGAATATATTATCAAAAAAACTTTTATACAATGGCTCATTCTCAGAGCCACATCTGCAAATTCTTATAAACTATTATTATTTGTTTACAAAAATAAATGTTTTAAATATATATTTTTTAAAATGTCAAAATTTTGAAAGTTTATTATAAATTATAGATTTTATTAGTATATTCTTATTTTTTTATTTAAAAAGTATGTATTTTTTATGTAAATGTAATTTTGTGTATCTGTGTTTTATTCTTATGTAATCTTTTAAAGCAATTTTTATGATTTACTATGTTAACAATTGACTTTTAACAATTGCGTTTTCAATAAAGTTATTAATAATCATCAAAGCTAATAAAACTAATTATAAAATAGACATATAAGAAGTTTCTGGTTACTAAACACAAACATGCATCCAAAGTAACTCACGGATGAACAAGCACCGCGCTTGAGGTCACGGCAGAACACAAATATATATAATAAGTTATTAGATATAAAGAAAAGTTTTTAGATATTGGTTTATTAACTCTTATTTTCGCTTCAGTTGCCATTCTTAAAAACTCGTTATACTTTTTTCTGCTTTAAATACTAATTAAAATTAAAAAGCCTACTCACTAAACATCATCAGCGATATTGTGAAGCAGTTTCGCTTCCTTGTCATAAAATATGTTTAACCTTTTTATTGATTTGTCTAGTTAATTTAATTTCTATAGTAATTCAATCATTATTTCATTGGTTTATCTTACTAGGAAGAATTGTTTCAAATATGTTAAACTTTTCAAACTACTCAAAGCATAAAATAGTTATTAAAAAAATTTAATTGTTTATTTATAAAATAATTTAGCTTAAATAAAACTAAAACTTGCTTTAGTTTTATTAGAATCTTGTTTGAATTTTCAAGATCGGGGGCTAATTTCATTTTGTTAGGGACCCCAAAAAGGTCTTCTTGACTTTTTTGGGGTCCCTAACAATGGGGGGCCTGGGACTCCACGTTATCTTTCCCATATTTCTATATATAAATAATATAAAAAAAAGATGGAGGTAAAAAGGCTAGGATAAACACGATATTATGATATGCACTGATATCCTAGTACAGTTTCAAATTAACTTCTTTGATAAATCCCGTATTAATAACAACTCCAAGGTATGGTTTCACCTTTAAAAGTTTTTTTTTTTCTCTGTTTTATCCACATTGATTTACCAGTAAAAAAATCAACATTAGGGCCATAGTCATTCCTAGAACAGAGAATCACTCATCTAAAACATCAACCCTATCACCATCAGAACTAGCATCTACATAAAAATTTCAAAATGATCAGAGTAGGTAATATATTAAATTTAAATAATATTGTATACAATTTTTAAATAAAAATTATTGTCTTCATCAAACAAGCTACTTATCAGCTACTTAGCTAACAGCTTTCTTCATCCATAAAACTTTCATCACTATCTCTCAACAATTCAAAATATGTATAAACAGTATACCAGAAGATGTGAAAGAAAAAATGTGCTTAGTTTAATGCTACCATATTTATTAAACAAACAGCAGTATTTTTCTGACAAAAGTCATAGTTCCAAAGGACATATTACAAAGAACTTTGTAAAATGTTCTTTAAAACTATGACTCCTTTGATTTGTGGTTCTTTGTTATTTTTGTTCATAATTAAAACTTATGTTATACAAATATAATGTGGTTTTAAATTAATAAGTAACAAAAAGTTTCAATTCTGTGAATAAAATTCTTATAAACAAAAACTCTTAGAACAAATGTTTTATGGTTACTTTTATGGTTGCTTTTACACATTTAAATTTATGATGAAGATTTTCGTAAAATCTTTTTAAAAACATTTTTATGTAATGAATTATAAATAAATATAAACTTCTATTATGGATGTATATATATATATATTTTTTGCATTAGTTTTTATACTATATTTCAAGGGAATCAAGTATAAAATGTATATTAAAAAAACTGTTAAAAACAAAACAAAAACAAATCAATGCAAGATAACTGACAGAGATAACGTCAGGACTTTCTTTTGGAAAACTATATTTTGATATTTGAATTAAAAGAAACTATTGCATTGATTTGTTTTTGTTTTGTTTTTAATTGATTTTTTTATATATTTTTTATACTTTTAATTAAATTTAAAACTATATTTTAATAACAAGGGTATCTATACTCCCTTGAAATATTGTATAAAAACTAATTCAAAAAAAAATAATAATAAAGAGTTAGATCCATAATAGAAGTTTTTATTTAATTATATATTAAACTCTTTAAAAGTGTCTTTTAAAATTTTAAATGTAATGAGTTAGTTTGAAAATGAAATTTGAAATGTAATGAGTTAGTTTGAAAGTGAATTTGAAATGTAATGAGTTAGTTTGAAAATGAAATTTGAAATGTAATGAGTTAGTTTGAAAACAAAATTTGAAATGTAATGAGTTAGTTTGAAAATGAGTTTGAAAATAAAAAGAAAAAGATTATTTCTTTAAAAAGTATTGTAAACCATTTTAAATTTCTTTAAAGTTTGATATTTAAAGAAAATATTTTCAAAATAAAAGTTAAAACATTTTGCAGTTTTCAAAATTTATACCATTTAAAGTATTAGGTACAGTATAAAACAAAATACTAAGATTAAAAATTATTATTATTACAATATTAAATATATATTAAAAAAAAATATGCCCACTACTTCATCTTTAACTCTTTTGTGTTTGTTATTTCTGATAAATTAGTTTTTTTATTTTGTATTTTGCCTTGCTGTTTGATCTTTTTTTTAAAGCATTTATTTTCTTCATCGTTTAATCTTTTAAATGTATCTTCTGATGTAAGACACTAACCTCCATAGAGTCTTTTTATTTTTTTTTGTAGGTCGTTTGTTGTATGAACATGTGGCCATTAACTGTTCTTTCACTATTTCTCTTATGATTTTATTTCCAGTAAAACAATCTACGTTTAAAACGTTTGATATTGATAGTTGATTTATTTTTTCATTGTTTAAGTCTTTTCCTACTGATATTATAGTTTTTTGTGAATTGTATTTATTTGTTGATTCAATAAAAAAATTTTTACAAGTATCGTTCTAATCATTGACATTGGTGAAAAAGCGATGTTTTGAGGGGCGTTATTATTATAATTATTTATTTTCTGAGAAAAAGGGTGTTCATAGATTTCAGAAGGATTTAACTTGTCAAATCCTATAGCAGATGGATCAAAAGGAAAAATTCCAGTTTTGGCAAACGATTGTACTAAATGAGCTGGCTTAAAGGAGGTATCATAAATTTTTTTTAATAAAGGTAGTAAAACAAATTTCCTAACCACCTTCAGCCTTAACTCGATATACCAATTGGCCAGAATTTCATGCCATACATGTTTAACTTGGCGAAAGACTCTTACATTAAGTGGCTGAAGCAAATGCGAACAGTGTTCTGGCAAACACAAAATACTTATATGATTTTCAACTGCTTTTTTAACAGTTTCTAAAGAAATATGACTCATGTGACCATAAAAGATAAGCAAAACAGGCTTGGGTGTGTCTTTCAACCATAAAACAAGATGGTTAAAGTATTCAGTGAAAACTTCTGTTTTTATCCAACTGTTTTTTGTCACCTCATTTAAGGAACCCTTTGGTCCACCAGTCATCCACTCTTTATACAAATTCTTTCGAGCAAATAAAATAATTGGAGGAAAATTTATTCCTGCAGCTGATATTGTTGCTAGTACAGTAAACTGTTCTTTTCCTGATTCAGAAGCAATAGTTACAGGGTTTTTAATACCTCTTTTGCAAATATTTTTTTTATTTATTGGGTTAGTGCAAAACCCACATTCATCGCAGTTTAGTATTTGGGCAGATCTATTCATAAAGTCACATTTTTCCAATGTAGCTTTAAGTAATGAAAACCAAGCATCAATTACAGTTTTGTTACAAGCTCTTGTTAATGTCAAAAGCTCTGGATTTCTTATGGATATTTCTTTCTGCCAACGATTTAAAAAATTACAAAACCACTGATCACTAGCAATGCCATTCACAAATTTTTTCTGAAATCCGTTTATTTCAATATACGTTTGAACAAGTTTCATAAATTGTGTTTTATATAACCAAATCCAAAATTAGAAAATGCAGATAAAAGTGAAACAAGATCTTTTTCAGCATCAGCAGATAATCGGTTTGGTCACCCTTCACTAACTTTTGAGCATTTTATGCCTAGAAGATTTATTGGAATTGTACTTCTTGGAAGACCATATTCTTTTGATGCAGCAAATGAAGACATTATTTTTAACTTTCGAAATGGCATTTTGCAACAAATTAGGTGCATATGTTTTTCTTCAAGATTCTTTTTTCCTAATATAGTTTCTTGTCATTATTTCAATATATTATATTTCTGAAAATAATTTTAAGAATATTTAAAAATATATATTTATTTTAAGAGTAAACAATTTAGTTAAGTAATTACAATGTATATATTCAGTTCTACAAAAAATATTTGATGAAAAAACATGACAAAAAGACTAGTTCACAATACCCTCAATAGGCAGAAAATTAAGGGGTAAAGTGAACTAAATTGACTTACAAACTAAAAGCTTAGCTTTTTTATATTATGATAAAAACTACAATTTTTTTTAAGCGGCATTATATTATCTTTAAAATGTATATAAATTATATAATTGATATTCACATTTTACTAAAACCTATCGCAAAGTTTGAGATCGTAATATTAAAACTTCCGCCAATCTCGCTTTTAAGAATGGCTATTACATCAAAACAAAGGCTGTATTTTATTAATTTTTTTTAATATTTTAAAATGTTGTATTAAGCAAAAATAATGCTAAATTACTTAACAAA